CTAGGTTAAGGGAATGCAAAACAGAGTCTATAAGAACTTTTTTAAAAATTCTGGAGAGATAGTATAGCAGGTAGAGGGCTGGCTTTGCATGCGTCTGGCTCAACTTCAGTCCCTGATCACTATGTGGTCCTTCCAGCCCTACCAAGGAGTCATCTCTAGCCTTGAGTAAGCCTTGAGCACTGCCAGGAGTGAACCCCTTCCATAACCCCCTCCTGCCACTCAAATAAGACATTATACTACCTCGGATGAAAATATTGCTCTAAGAATACTTTTAAGTGTTGAGCACAGAATTTTAAAATGTTCTTATGGACAACAACATGCCAAAAGCTGTTTTGGGTAATGAGAGTTTCTGATTTTTTTTAAAATAAGATTCAACTCCTAAAGGAAAACTAAAATGGAATGTTTGCATGTATGACAGTTAGAAATTCTCAGGTATGTCTTGTAGCATTCCCTAGAGGCACATACTTAAAGATTATAATCTATATTAGTGAGAATTTTAATCTAAGATCCTGGACTTTTTGTAAGGAATTTAATGATTTTATTTCATTTTTATGACATCAAGCGCACCAGTTGGATGCTTTGCCGTGCTGATATCTGTTCTTCTTTGGGAAATTTGTTTTAGAACTTTATACTTAACTATTTTAAGCTAGGGACACTTTATATTTTTAGCTACACATTTCAGTCGATAGGAGCTCACTGTAATGTCAGCACAGGGAGCCATTACTGTAGACCAGACACGCTTGCAGATAAAGAACAAGGTCCTCGGGGTTATCTTTGGAGCTGCCTTCAAAAGTCAAATTAAATCTTTTTGGCTTGGGAACAATGTATGATCTTCCTTTAAGTTAATACTCACCTTTGACAAAGGAAATTTTTCACTAATCTTTTTTTGTAAGAAACTAGGCAATTTAAGCAAATTCTAAACTTCAATGAGGAAAATAATTTAGTCCCTGAGAACATTATTATTTTCTTTTCTATTTATTTATTTATTTATTTTTGGCTTTTTGGGTCACACCCTCCAGTTCACAGGGGTTACTCCTGGCTATGCACTCAGGAATTACTCCTGGCGGTGCTCAGGGGACCATATGGAATGCTGGGAATCGAACCCGGGTTAGTCCCGTGCCAGGCAAATGCCTACCCGCTCTGCTATTGCTCCAACCCCTATTCTTATTTTTTACATAGACAAAAAAAAAAGAGCTTAACAAAATAATTCAGATAGTGATAAAGTGTTCACAGTCAACTCTAGGTATTTTCTTACTTAAGTGATTTCATCAATTTTCCAATTCATGAAGTACATTTGGAATCCGCCTGAGTGTATTTTTGGAGAAACACTTATTGAGCACCTACTCTGCATTGCTTTCTAGGGAAAGGCTGTGGACAGTCTTTAGCTTTAAAACCAAGAAAAACAGGTCCAGAGCAATACTAGAGCAGGCAGGACAGTCGACCTGGGTTCTTTCCCCAGCACCCTGTGGTCCTCTAAGCCCCACCAGGAGTTGATCCGAGTGCAGAGCCAGGAGTAATCTGGTCCCCCAAAACAAAAATCAGTAAATAAGTATATAAATAAAACTAAGAAAAGCAAGTTAAGGAAGTTTAAAATCAAGATAAGAGGGCAGGGCTGGGCTGGGCTTTGTGTCTTTCACTTACAGAAGGGTGCTAGAGTGAAGTCAGACTTTCAGGCTAGTACTCTGTGAATCAGACAATTCAGTAGGCCCTAGTGGAATTTACAAAGACATTTCTTTGGTCATCAACACAAGAAATAACAGTCTGCTCTAATGTAGTTCTTTATTCAGCTGAAGAGTATGTGCTTTGGGATATTTGATGTGAATGAATTGGCATTAGTCTTAAGATCTAATTTTATTATTATGTGATTTGACAACCAGGAACTCTTAATGCAATTTTTTAAATAAAATATTTTATTTAAACCCCGTGGTTTAAAACATTCTTCATATTACAGTTGTTATAGGCTTTTGATGTTCCAGCACCAATTCCACCACCGAAGTGACCTTCCCTTCACCATTCTCCCTGTTTTCCCAACCACCGCCAAGCCTGACCCCTTAGCAGGCACACTTTGTTTTATATTGCTTGTTACAACTAAATCACTATATCATTGTCTGTATCACTGTCATCCTGTTGTTTATCGATTTGCTCGAGTGGGCACCAAGTAACGTCTCCATTTGTCCCTGTCATGTGCTAGTGTAGCTCGATGGCATATTGGAGGCTCTTTCAGGGTCAGGGGAATGAGGACCATCATTGTTACTGTTTTTGGCATATCAAGTACGCCACGGGTAGCTTGCCAGGCTCTGCTGTGCTGGTGCGATACTCTCAGTACCTTGCCGGGCTCTCTGAGAGAGATGGAGGCTTTTGGGGCAGCCTCTAATCACCTTTACAGGTGTTCCCAGTCAGGTATATATGCGAGCAGGATACCGTCAGTAGCCCTCTGGGTTCTCTGAGAGCGAAAACGAAACAATAAGAGGTTGCACGGCCGCAAATGCTGAAACATGAGGGATCTGGGTGGAGGAGGCCCAATCCCGAACCGAGCAGGTCTGGAGATCTCAGCTCCAGGTCCCGCACACCTGGGCTCCTCTGCCGTTCCCTTTATGTGCAAGACTCTTCCGAGCATGTGGAGAGTGGTCTCAGCATGGCTTTGGCTGGGTTCCAGAGGTCTTCAGCTGTCGGGGCTCTGCTCTACTAGTTACAACTAAATAGCTAACAAAATTACCAAAAATAATTCTCAAAAAGGAAATTTGTGAGAATTGTTATATCTTATAATGGGGAGACAGTTCTCAATGTGATTTTACACCATGTGACTATAATTAATTAGAGTGCCTCTAGTTTTGTTTTGCTGTATGATGTTCTAACCTTGCCTTAGATTCTTGGGGTCTATAGTTGTGCTTTTGTTTTCTTTTACTTGGGGATTTGGGTTTTGGTTTTAATGTGTGTGTGTGTGTGTGTGTGTGTGTGTGTGTGTGTGTGTGTGTGTGTTATGGGTTGGGGTTTATTTTTGTCCATTTGATTTTGAACCTGCTGATTCAGTTCAATGGAGAACGGTAGAGGGAAGGTCACATTGGTGGTTGGATTGGTACTGGAATATCAAAAGCCTATAACAACTGTAACTGCTGATTCCAGAACCGCTCCCCTTGGGGTTGCAGCCGATAGTAGGCAGGGTGAAAGTTCAGTGCTTGGGGGCTGGAGCAACAGCACAGCGGGTAGGGCGTCTGCCTTGCATGCGGCCAACCCAGGTTCGATTCCCAGCATCCCATATGGTCCCCTGAGCACCGCCAGGAGTGATTCCTAAGTGCAGAGCCAGGAGTAACCCCTGTGCATCACCGGGTGTGACCCAAAAAGCAAAAAAAAAAAAAAAAAAAAAAAAAAAAAAAAGTAAGTTCAGTGCTGGGGATCAGACTTGGGCCCCAGTGCTCTGGCTTCATGATCTTCCTTTGAGGCCCTGCGTTCATATTTGAAGAAGGGTAGATGCGACCCATCAATCCTTCAAAATAGTGAAGGAATTTGTAGAAAAAGGTAATGAAGAAATTTGAAACCATCCCATTAAAAAATGGTCAAAGAAATGAAAATATTGACCTGGAAAAAAATGTATATAAACAATCGTTTTCAGTATTTGAGAGTTATCTGTGGGGAAATTGTTAGAATCAATCCCCCTGTACCCCTAGAGACAGAATCTGCAGGAAACAAAGTGTTCCTACATAGCATAGGAAGATAACTTCTTTATCATTCTGAAGACTAACTGCACTGGGAAGTGGTTCTGAGCATTTTCCACTTTTACACTAGTCACCCAAACATAAATAACATCCGGTTGTCTCTGGTTCTTTATTTTTCCTCAGATCAATCCTTATCTCTCCATTTACCCTTCATCATGTCTACACAGAAGATTATAAATGCCTTCTTTTTGGTCTCTTGTTATCCCTTCAATTCCCTTCTATCTGTTCAACATCTTCGAAAAAACGTAATGTGGACTTTACAAATGCAAATATGATTTGTTCACTGCTACCAGCTCCCATCCCTTTATGTCTTCCCTTTGCTTGAAATACATAAAACCCCAAATTGATATCTTCTGTAAGATTCCTATTTGTGCTGGCCCATAGCCCTGCAATGTCACTTGCTCCACTGAACTCTCAGGACCCTTACTTACGCTGACCCCCCTCCAGTCCCCAACAAGTATCATGCTTTCTCTAACAACAGAGAGACATTTTTACTAGAATTCCTTTTACCCTGTTTCTGACCCAGTTCATTGACCTTCCTGGTTAGAAATTCAACTCTACACTCACTTTTAAGATTCCTTTGTCTCTTAAGGCTGAAGCGATAGCACAGTGGGTAGGGTGTTTGTCTTGCATGCGGCTGACCCGGGTTCGATTCTCAGCATCCCATATGGTCCCCTGAGCACCGCCCGGGATAATTCCTGAGTGCAAAGCCAGGAGTAACCTCTGTGCATCACCGGTTGTGACCCAAAAAGAAAAAAAAAGATTCCTTTGTCTTACACATTTGCAAAAATACATTTTCCTATTAACACCCCTCTCACTTTTCTAACATTGCTTCCTGGGATTTTTAAGTAATTCTTGTCTCTCTTATCAGATAGTTAACTGAATAAATGACACACTTTTGTTTATCTTTTTCTTGCATAAGTATATGCTTACAGTTATTATTAATATTGCCTTCACATATTTATGTTTCTTAGGTACCAGCCACTGTTGTAAATACCATCTTGTGTCATTTAGTTATAAGAACTCTATTTGCCATTAAACCCCAAAACATATTAATGTTTAGTGGGTACCCATAAGGATTTACTGAATAACTTATTTGTAATTATCTTGTGTATTTTCAAGAAAATCTGGACGAGGATATGGAAGGCTAGCAAAAACCAAAATTGAAAAAAGGTGGCTTAATGATATTTGGTAACAATCTTAGGAGTCTGTGCTTTTTTTCACTTTTCTTTATATTTCATTCAACTTTTCTAAACTGCTAGTGATTCTTTTTTTCTTACAATTCAGGGTCTTCAGAACTACCTATTGATGTCATTTGCATTTTGCATCATCTTGGCTGGAATATTGTGCACTTCTTTTTCTAAACTCTAACAATCATAACACCAGCAGATGGCAGCAGTAGCTAAGAGATTGCCTCTTCGGACGCCAGAGAGAATGCTGAGAACAGTTCATTTTCTCCCAGCAAACAGATTTCAGCCTGCCATAATCTGGGCAAATGACTTTCACCTGAAAGATCTGGAAATGAGCAAGAACTGGGTTTCAGTATGGTATGAAAAATGAAAAATTTTTCTAATGAACTATTCATGAAGGTACAACTTCACTCGTGGACTAAAATGCTTTTTAATATCATTTGATCTGAGGGTGCTCCTTTTACAACAATAAGCGCTGAAAGCTGCATGATCAAGAACACAGTGTGGTGTTCATATATAAAAAGTTTATAGTTCAGGGGGCTGGAATGATAACACAGCAGGTAGGGCGTTTGCCTTGTACGCGGCCAACCCGAGTTCAATTCCCAGCATATCCCATATGGTCCCCTGAGCCAGGAATAATTCCTGAGTAACACCTGAGCATTGCCAGGTGTGACCCAAAAAGCCAGAAAAAAAAAAGGGTTTATAGTCCAACTGGTACTCTTATTAAACGAGGTGTAGAAAAATATGGGGAGAGGGGAAAGGAGAGAGAACATTTACATTATAATAAAATTATATCTTAAATATGCTGGATCCTTTGCTAGGGGGAAAAAACGCAAACATCAGGTTTAGTAACTAAAAAACCAATTGATTATTCTCTGCCCCAGTTTGTGTGTGTGTGTGTGTGTGTGTGTGTGTGTGTGTGTGTGTGTGTGTGTAGGACCACATCCATGGTGCTCAGGACTTCCTGGCTCTGTGCTTAGGAATCCCTCCTAGTGAGGATTTGACGACAAGTGATGCCAGGGATTGAACTTGGGTCTTCTATTTGCGAAGCTATCACCTTACCTGCTGTGCTCTCTCCATCCCTATGACATGTGTCTGTATTTCCAGGTATTTCCCGGCCCTAGGTCATCCTTCCTCATTCAAAATGCTTTTCAGGAGCCAGAGTGATAGTACAGCAGGTAACGTGCTTGCCTTGCATATGGCCAACCCCGAGTTCTATCCCCAGCATCCCATTTGGTCCCTGAGGTGTCAGGAGTGATTCCTGAGTGCAGAGCCAGGAGTAACACCTGAGCACCACTGGGTGTGGCCCAAAAACAAAATGAAAAAATGCATTTGATTGGCTCTAGATAAAATTCATCCTCAGAGAACAAAATTTCCCAGATTTATTATACATACATGCACATTCACATTTACAAACATTGTTTTAAATTGGGGGCTGGGGGAGGATTTTCAGAGACTGAACTGAGGTTCTAGCTTATTACAGTGAGAATACAAACAACAACACTCCTTTGGGCATATAATTTACTATTATGCTGTTCTAAAGTAAGATGAGAGATATTTTTTTCTGTTTTAACTGGTACTTTCCACTGTCATAAAAAAAAATGACTTTCAGGGACCTGGAGCAATAGCACAACGGGTAGGGCGTTTGCCTTGCATGCAGCCGAACTAGGTTCGATTCCCAGCATCCCATATGGTCCCCCGAGCACCGCCAAGAGTAATTCCTGAGTGCATGAGCCAGGTGTAACTCCTGTGCATCGCCAGGTGTGACCCAAAAAAGCAAAAAAAAAAAAAAAATGACATTCAACACTGGTTTTATTTAAGAAAAATGAAATGAAATGGAGCATTTAGTACAAAGTTTATTACAGTGATTCCCCAAACTCTCAAAATAATAAAATACCTAGTCAGCTGTAAATTTCCTCTATTCCTAACTGAGGGTATATCAGTTTGTTATTCAGGAGATACAAAAGAATAGAATTCTACTTATGTTGTATCCTCTGGAACTTAATTATGTAGCAGATTTAAATCTCACCTCTTTATTGTGTAACTTTGAATAAGTTCCTGAGCCCCATATATCAGGCTTCTCACTTGAAAACTGGGTATGATGATATTGTTAATCTAATATGTTTATTGTGAAATTCACATGAGTTCAGATTTGTCAAATATGTTCATGAGTTTAGCACTTGGCGAGCATTGTATAAATTTTAGCTATTATTAGAAGATGTTTGAGAAAGAAAACAGGTTTCTGTTGATTGCATTATACCTTGAAGCAACTACCTCCTTACCAGTATAATTATTCCTCTATAGGGCTGCAATTTAAAATTGGTACTGGAGTCCCTGTTATTGTTGAATTACAATGTAAATAAGTATTTAATTATAATATCTTACAAAACTAACTTAAATTCTAACCTGAAATTGTATTAATTATTCTGATACACTTTGGCATTATTTATGTAACATCATTTGAATAAATTTACATGATATAAGTGGTTTTTTCATTTAAATATGTTTTAATTTTTATATTGGATAGGTAAAGGTAAAGGTAAAGGCCCTCCTGTTGATCGTCGATTTGCTCGAGCGGGCCCAGTAACGTCTCCATTGGAGACTTTGTTGTTACTGTGTCTGGCATATCGAATACTCTCGGTAGCTTGCCGGGCTCTCCGAGAGGGGCGGAGGAATCGAACTCGGGTCGGCCATGTTGGCTGCGTGCAAGGCGAACGCCCTACCCGCTGTGCTATCGCTCCAGCCCGCATGATTATTCACTGAGATTTATATGCAAAATTTTTAATAAAAGGTAAAACAACTGCAGAAGAAAAGCGAGAAAAATAAACCTCTTACTGGGGCCAGAAATAAAATACATGTTATAAGATGTTTACTTTGAGTGCAGCTGACCCTAGTTCTGTCCGTGAAACCACATACGGTCCCCTCACTCACAGACCCAGAGAACTGCTGCTTGTGACCCCCCAAAAGAAGGAAAGATAAATGTATTATTACATTATGAAGTTACTGTTTTTAGACAATAATGTAAGAATTTTAAAGGAAAAACAAGCTTCTTCAAAATAGTTATCAAGCAAACAACTTTGTAGCGCAAACAACTCTGGGCAATAGTCAGATCTCTACTTTCTTTGTTCATCTTTGCAAGCTAAAGCCTGTCTTGAGATTTGAAATTTTATTTTTCTTTGTCTAGTATAGCCAACTTCTTGTGTTCACCTTTGTCGGGGTCCTGGACAGTTTACCCCAGAACACTGGAGTACGATCCCCCTGATCACCGGACTTACTCCCTATGGGAGAGGGAGTGAGAAGAGGAGAAGCCTCTGTGCTGGCTCTCTGTGCACCGCGGACTCCCGCCGCCACCGAGAAAGAACCACAAGGAGGGGGAAAGCTCGTGGTCAATCAGCAATCCCTTTATTAGCTCTTACATACATAGATTTATACATACATTTCAGGGGCAGTCCACATGTATCACGTTTACCTTGTCAGGCTCAATACAGATGTTAATGATTTGCATCTCCCGCTTTCCGGGCCAGATGTATTAGCTCAGGCAGATGGTAACTATTACATCCCTCATCCTCAACCAGAGTGTCTACGTGTGTGGTGTGCTGAAGCAAGTCCCCAGGCCCCTGTAAACAGGGCCAGCTCTTTCTTTCAGGGACAGGGGATTTGGTCAATTCTCGGCTACTGAGACCCCCAACACACCTTGACTTTTCCTGGCTTGGCTTTCCTTTCTCACTCTATCCTGATGTCTTATCTCTACTAGAAAGGTCTCACCTTAGGGTGTAGGTACAGTCCAACATGAAGAAGAGAAGTGTCAGCCCAGGGCAGCTGGTATCCAGATTATGAGAATTTTTGGACTTATGCAAACAAAAAGTCCTGCTTAATTTTTTTTTCTGAGTTTCTTTTTTTTTTTTAAATTTATTTATTTATTTATTGAATCACCGTGGGAAAGGTTACAAAGTTTTCAGGTTTAGGTCTCAGTCATGCAAATATCAAACACATTTCCCTTTACCAAAACTTATTTTTTACCATGAAGAACCCCAATAAAACCCCATCCCCCACCCCTCCTAGTCCCTGTGGGGCAGATGAATTCTAGTTAACACTCTATCTGCTTTGATTAGATTCATTGTTTCAATAAAAGATTCACCACTATTATTTAGAATTTACCCCCCCCCCAAATCAGACATGCTGAAAAAGCATTGTGAAGTGATTTGCTTTCTACAGCTGGGTTCAAGAATTAAATGTTGGTTTTGGATTTCTGCTATTTTACTTATTGGCCCTGGAAGTATTTCTACTGAAAGTCAGATAGTTAAGAAATTGGTTTCTGTGCTCTGGAGTCGTGGCCGTGCTGGAGAGCCGCTAGTGGGGGGCAACTGGTGGCCGCGGTAGGGCGTGAAGGGCAGACCGAAACACCCCCCTTCCCATGAGGTTTTAGTCGCCCCCAGTCCCCCAGCTATACCTGCTGTCCACAAGGCTCCCATGCGGCCGCCATCTTTCTTTCCAGAGAGGAGAAGGCGACTGGGGCAACAACCTTTCCCCTCCAGCAGACATGATGGCCTGGATTAACGCATAGTCCTTTCACTTTTCTGCTCCAAGCTGCCGGGTTCTGCATTAAGTCCTTGTGCTTCTGGGGCCGTGGCCGTGCTGGAGAACCGCTCGTGGGGGGCAACTGGTGACCTCGGTAGGGCATGAAGGACGGACCGGAACGCCCCCCTTCCCATGAGGTTTTAGTTGCCCCCACACCCCTGGCTCATACCTGCTGTCCACAAGGCTCCTATGTGGCCGCCATCTTTCTTTCCAGAGGGAGGAGGGTGGAAGGGACCAACACCCTTTCCCCTCCGGAGTCCTGCTTAATTTTAAAGAATGAAATGCCCAGCATTTTCCAAAGTGACCAAATCTCCATTTACTCTTGCTTCATTCTCTGTTGTGGTGGTGGTGGTGGTTGTGTAAAACTGGAGTCCACCATCCAAAGAGGCAGGTAACCTGGAATGGAAGTTCTGGCAAAGTCCCATGGAAACTAGATTTGTGAAAAATAACAGCATTACTCTTATAGGCCAAATTGTCAATGAATCAAAGAACAGATATTCACAAATAGTTCCTAGGCCCAGAAGTTTCATCTGCTATCAGATGGAATATCTTCCGTGTTTAAATAAAGTCATCACATGGGGAAGAGGTAGGTCAAGGACATGAAAGGAAAGGCTAAAGCCGATAAAAGGAGGCAGTTACAAGCACATCATGGGATCAGGACTTGGCAAAGGAGTGGAGTGTTTCCAATTCAGTCATGAGCTCCCAGGGCATCTGAACGGGAGATGAATACATGGTCTGCTGCCCCTTTTATCTGTACTTGGAACTGCTAACAACTAGACCTGTAGCTGTCAAATTGATGGAGTTGTAAAGCATGCAGTGGAAAAGGCATGTTCTAAACCCACATGCATATACACCAGTTAGGCACATTAAAAAAGATCAAAGCAATGTTATTTTTCTATGAATTTGTATCAATGCAGAATAATAAAAAAATACATGTATGCCTAACTCATAATAATATTTTAATGAGTAAGTGGTAACAACCTCTTATTGATGACACTGGGTCAAGGTGAACTTGAGTATTGTTTGTAACACTATAAACTCAGATGTCTGTAAAATGTGTCAAAGAAAGGTCTGGAGTGATAGTACAGAGGTGAGGCACTTGCCTTGCATGTGACCAAGCCAGGTTTGATCTGCAGCACTCCATAGAGTTTCCTGAGCTGCTCCAGACGTGATCCCTGAGCTCAGGACCATGAGTAATCCCTGAGCGCCATCAAGAAATAGATAAAGGAACAAGCAATAAAACGTGGCAAAGAATCAATAATGAAACTAAAACCTCAGAAGTGTGTGTGTTTAAATGTTAAAGCAATTAAATCAGTAAAGAGAATATGAATGGATGGAAAAGAAATCTCTTCAACACGTATACGTACATAAATTTTGAAAAGAAAAAGGAAGAGTTGGGAAATTTTCCAGCTAAAGAGTTACATCCAGAGGCCAGCAATAGTACATTGGGTAGGACCTTTCCCTTGCACGCAACCAACCCAGGTTCGAACCCCCACATCTCACATGTCCCCCAAGCACCACCAGGAGTAATTCCTGAGTGCAGAGCCAGGACTAACCCCTAAGCAAACCCAGTTGTCACACACACGCACACACACACACACACACACAAAGTCACATCAAGCTCCTGGTCCAGGCGTGAACTAAGTTGGTAGAGTAATCTGGTGGTGTGCACTAGGCCAAGTCCCCCTTGACTCCCATCTGGCCCTCTCGCTCTGCTAGTTCTAGCAGCCCCTGAACATCACCAGGCCCAAGCGCCGCATTGCATGCTCAGAACCAAACCATCAGGCCTAGTATTGTTCGTGATGAGCATCCTTAGGTCCCTCAGAAGCCCTGAGTGTGACCTACAAGGAAGAGTCCACCACAAAAGGCAGAATCAGAAACTCAGTTTTAGCCTCTGCGGCAGCAGGGTCTAAGTATTGACCCTCCAAGCTGATTCCTTGGTTCCTAATGATCCCTTACATTCCCTAACAAAGTTGTTGCAGAATTTGGGTTTAAAAAATATTCCAGCAGGCGCCCGGGCTCGGGCAGTTGGCCCACAGTGCGCGGCACTCACCCTGTGAGCTACAAGGGTGGGTGCTGGGCTTGAGGCTTTTGATTAACACCCAGGTACCACATCTATCGGTGTTCAGATGGAAGAGCATCCTACTATGAACAGAAAAGCCAATGGGAATGGGAATGCTGTACCTCTCTGTCCATCTAAGCCTTCTCCCAGCTTCATTAATCTTCAAGCAAGTTCCCCACCAGCACCTTTTCTGAACATCCAGGCAACACAGCTGCCCTCAGAAATTGACCACAAACCCAGGGAATGCCTTGGACTCTTAGAACTATGTACGCTAACCTGCAGCTTCAGACCCAGCTCACCTAGCAACAACTGACTATTCTGGAAACCTGACAAGCATCCATGGCCCAACTGGCTCCTGAGAAGGAAAGCAAGAATGCAGCTCTCCCAGCTTTAACTCACTGTCTGTTGTTAAGGCACCTGCCCCAATTCAGTAAATGAATTGTGAAATAAAAAAATATATATGTTCCAGATATCTTGTCCTCCAAGCTTGCTGGTTATGTGTCTGCCAGTTTACATCACTCTTGCTTCTCTTAAGATGTTATCAAAACATATAACAGTATGTACCCTCTTGTGTTTGATCTCTTTCATTCTAAAACTATTATAATTCCTTAGACTGATGCCAAGCAATTATTTTCCCTAGAATTAAGCATAACAACTAAAGAGAAACCAATTAACATTTGAGGTGGTTATATTTAAGTGAGTCATGTTTCAGAATTCAGTTGCTTTTAGGAGCCAGGGATATAGTTCAGTGGTAGCGCTCTTGCCCTTCGTATGAGAGGTCCTAGGTTTGCTCTTCAGCAGTGCCCCACAAAATGCAGAAATCCATTGCTTTAAGTCAATGATTTTACGTAAGAA